TTGGACTCCTTAAGCAGCAACTGCAGGAGCAAAAGCCCCTCTGAGAAAGGAGGGGGGGGGGACCCGGGCTATCACACACACACACACACTGCTCATCTCCTCTACCTGGACTTGAGGCGCAGCAGCTGTTTCCACACCTCTGCCAAGACGATGGCTGAACACAACTGTGAGGGAAACAGAAGGAAGGAGGGATTGTTAGCCCAGACTCCCGAATTCGTTTGCTTTTTTGAATCCCACTTTGTGCTCCCTCCTTCCCAGGGCTGTGAAACCTTGCCATAGGCACATCCAACAAAATCTGTAAGGATTTCTAGTAAATTACCAATGGATTTCCAGGGCAGAGAGCCAGTTTGGTGTAGTGGTCAGGAGCGCGGACTCTAATCTGTGAGAACCGGGTTTGATACCCACTCCTCCACATTTTATTTCATTTGACTTGCTATGTCATTCTATTTTATGTCATTCAACATGCAGCTGCTGGTGGGACCTTGGGTCAGTCCCAAGTTCTCTCAGAGCTGTTCTCTTAGGAGCAGCCCTCGAAAGAGCGCTCTTGGCCCCACCTACCTCACAGGGCATCTTTTGTGGGGAGGGAAAGGAGATTGTAAGCCACTCTGAGACTCCTTCGGGTAGTGAAGGGGGGGTATAAATCCAATCTCTTCTCTCTCTGTGTCTCTCATCTACTGATGCTCTGGCATCACATCCAGTCCACGCACCAGCCCCAAACATCACAGCGGTGCCGGGCTACAGGCAGGCTTCCATAGTCCGCTCGCCGCCTCCTGTCTGTGGCCCATGAGACGCTCCTGGAAAGCCTTTAATCTGGGGCTGAGAAGGCAAGTCTTGGCTACTAGCAATGTGTTTTCAGAGGTATGCTGCCCCAGAACATGGAGGTTCCATTCATTTGCCATAGCTAATAGGTGCACACAGAATTGCCTTCCAGGAATCCTTCTAATCACTTTTCAAGTGAGTGGCCATCACTACATGCTAGGCCACAGAATCCCAGAACTTCACTCTGTGTTCTTTGAAAAAGCATAATAAGTCTCTTGATTTATATGTTGTTTGTTGTAGTTGTTTATGTCTGTGTTTAGGAATATAAGAAAAAATAAATGTGTATCTTCGGGTACTTAAAAAAAAAAAGCATCTCCTTTCCCCCCCCTTTCCTAAACCTTTTACCCAAGAACTTCACTGTGTGCCCCAATTCTATCTGGCCGCAAGACGGCCTTACCACGTGAGAGGGCATCTTGGGCACCCTCCTGAGCAGTGTTCCCTCTAAGCTGAGTTAATGTGAGCTAGCTCACACTTTTTTAGCCTCCGGCTCACACATTTTTGTCTTCGCTCAGGAAGGAGGGCTCCAGAGCAAACTAATTTATGCAGTAGCGAAATTGCTCGCTCACAACTTTAATGCCAGTAGCTCACAAAGTAGAATTTTTGCTCACAAGACTCCACTGCTTAGAGGGAGCATTGCTCCTAAGCAGAGGTCATTTCGGGGGGGATCGCGGGGGATCGCAGTTCCCCCGGGTGAGGTACGGGGGCGGGGCACATGACGAAGCCCTGCCCCCTGCTTCCGGCCGCCCTGCTTCCGGCCCTCATTCAGCCAGGAGGAGGCAGGAGAAGAGGGAGAATAAGTTGCTTCCTCCCTGCCTTTCCCCACCCCTGCCTGCCTGGGGCCAGGGAGGGCCTTCGCGGGGCTTCCTTGCACTCCCGCCGGCCTTGCAGGTCCACCGCCGGGCCCCTCATGGAGCTTGGCAGTGGAGCTGCAAGGCCGGCAGCGTCCAGGACCGTTGGGGGCGGGGTGTGTGGCCTTATGACACACTTCCTGCGATGCCAGGGGGTGTGGCATATGCTAATGAGGTATGCTAATGAGTTCCCCTAGCTCTTTTTCTATGAAACGACCCCTGCTCCTAAGCCTTCTGCCCTCCCTCCTCAGAGAACTTCTCTTCCATCTTCACTGCTGGTCCCCACATCTGGAAGAGCAGAAAAGGAGACGGGTAAGAGAAGGAATGGAACAGGCCGAGGAGACGGATCCTGCCCCAGTCCCAGACTCCTCCTCATCCCTGCATCCACCAGCAGAGCTGCTTCAGCCACAGGGGCAAGAATCAGAGCTGGATTTTCTTCCCAGCCTAGCGAATCCTCTAGAGGCAGAAATATCTGGCAGGGAAGCCTTAGGATAAGGTCGTTGTTCGAACAGCGTGAAGGAAGCCCCCTCACCTGCTCTGCCTGCCTCTTCCCCTCTGCCTGACTCAGGAGGAAGCCTTCGGCCAGGGCCACCGCCTGGGAACTGGTCTCTGGCCCACACCCTCTGACCCAGCACTGCATGTCCTGGGGCAGGACGGCCAGGAACTGCTCCAGGATCACCAGGTCCAGCATCTGCTTCTTGGTGTGCCTCTCCGGCTTCAGCCAACGGTTGCAAAGTCCATGGAGCCGGCTGCAGACCTCTCGGGGCCCATCGGCCTCCTGATAACAGAACTGCCGGAAGCATCGGCTGCGTGCTTCTGCAGTCATAGCGTCCTGAGCTGAGATCTCTACCACAGCTCTTTCCCAGAACTCAGCACCACTCCCTGCTTGGGTAGGATGGGGACCGTTCCTTGATCTCGTGCCAATTCCGGGTCCTTCTGGGTCCTGCTCTTCCATCTCCTTCCCCTTCCCTTGGGTTGCGTCCGACTGAGGAAAGATACTCTTACTCATGTGGCTATGAAGAGGGAGAGGAAATCCTATCAAAAAGGCAGAAAGAAACCCAAAGAAAACGGGGCTACATCGCCAGCCCTGGTCAAGAGACACCTAAGGGTTGCCTTGGTGGATCAGAAGTTCCACCCTTATTGTAGTTTGTGAACCAGGATTAATGTTATTGTGCTATATTACATATCAATACCTTTTTGGTATGCCTTTTTGGTCTTTCAGGAAAGTAAACCATCTCTGTTTGGCTCCTTAAAAATCTGTTGCCGATGTTATGATCTTGGCCTCCTGTGACCAATGCTCCCTCTAAGCTGTGGAGTCTTGTGAGCAAAAATTCTACTTTGTGAGCTACTGGCGCTAAAGTTGTGAGCGAGCGATTTGGGTGCTGCATAAATTCATCTGCTCTGGAGCCATCCCTTCCCCAGCTAAGATGGAAAATCTGTGAGCCGGAGGCTAAGAAACTGTGAGCTGGCTCACACTAACTCAGCTTAGAAGAAGAAGAAGAAGAAGAAGAAGAAGAGATTGGAGTCTCAGAGCGGCTTACAAACTCCTTTCCCTTCCCCTCCACGACAGACACCCTGTGAGGTGGGTGGGGCTGAGAGAACTCTGACACAAACCGTTCTTTTTCAAGGACAGCTGTGCCAGAGCTTGTGACTGACCCAAGGTCACATCAGCAGGTGCAAGTGGAGGAGTGGGGAATCAAACCCGGTTCTCCCAGATTAGAGTCCGCACACCTAACCACTGGATGACCTTGGGAACCCTGCCTGTGACCGCGTATCAGTCCATCCTTGGGGTTACGTCTCAGTGTAAACTGGAGCCCAAGACAAAGTGACTCGTAACAGCTTAACCATTTCAGCTATGAGGAGAAGAAGAAGAGGTTGGATGTATACCCTGCCCTTCACTACCCAGAGGAGTCTCAGAGCGGCGGACAAACTCCTTTCCCTTTCCCTCCCCACAACAGACACACCCTGTGAGGTAGGTGGGGCTGAGAGACCTCTTGACAGAAACTGCTCTTTTTCAAGGACAGCTCTTGTCAGAACTACGGCTGTTACCTTCCCACCGAAGCGGTACCTATTTATCTACTTGCAATGTCTTGCTTTCAAACTGCTAGGTTGGCAGGAGTTGAGGCCAGAGACGGGAGCTCACTCCATTACATGGCACTCGGGTCTCGAACTGCCGAACTACCGGCCTTCCGGCCTGCAGCTCAGAGCCTTAAACCTCCAAGCCACCGCGGCTCCGAAAGTACTTAAGGGAAGCATAAATGTTAACATGAACCACTAAATGATGCAACGTTACATGGCAGGATACAACTTAACAGCAACGTGAAAACTACACAGCACGATCCTACTTATGATAACCTATACATTGCCCAGGCTGGCCTCATCTCATCAGATCTCGGAAGCTGAGCAGGGTCGGCCCTGGCTAGTATTTGGATGGGAGACCTCCAAGGAATGCCAGAGTCGTGAGGTGAGGGCAGGCAATGGCAAAACGCCTCTGAACGTCTCTTTCCTTGAAAACCATACAGGGTCACTATGAAACAGCTGTGACTTGGCGGCAAACACAAATACACATTGGTACATAAGAACATAAGAGACGCCAATGTTGGATCAGGCCAAAGGCCCATGCAGTCCAACACTCTGGGTGCGTTCAGACGCAGCCTTTACAACGGATTCTGTGCCGGTTGCAATCGATGTACCTACCGGCGTTCAGACGGGGAACATCTGTCTTCCCTCTCTATCCGTTGTAAAGAGCTTTAAACCGTTGTACTCTGCCAGTAGGTCGGAAGTGGTGGTAAACAGAGTGCAACGGTTGTCATCGGTGCACCCAGGCATCTGATCGCTCTCCTCCGTTACAGAGACACTTCTGTCGGAAGCCTGAGGCTTCCGGCTTTCCCCGCCATTTTTTTAAAAGAGGAAGCGATATGCGCTCAGGCGAAGCTTCGCCCTGAGCGTTTGTTTAAAAAAATAATAAAAATGCCTTACTTTAACTTCCCGGAGGAGTCCGGGACTACAGCGAGGCCAGGTTGGGTTTTAAACTTTAAAGGTAAGTGCTTACCTTTAAAGTTTAAATGTAAGGGGGGGGGGTTGAGCATGCACAAAAATCGGCATTCTCTGAATGGCTGCCTATGCGCATGCTCAAACTGTCCTTTAAAAAAAACACACACACGCAGACGCCCGCAGCGTGTGAGCGGGCGTCCACCGGAGGGCTTCGCAAAATGGAGGTGAGTGTGATCGCGTTTCTGCCGGCATAAACTGCACCGGTTCCAACCGGTGCAGTTTATGCCGGCAGAAAGGCCGCGTCTGAACCTGTGTCACACAGTGGCCAGAAATACCAGGTGCCATCAGGAGGTCCACCAGTGGGGCCAGGACATTAGAAGCCCTCCCACTGTTGCCCCCCCCCAAGCACCAAGAAGACAGAGCATCACTTACCCCAGAGCCCCTATCTATACCTTGTGGCTACAAACCACAGTCCTTAAGAATTTCTCTCTGTCAATCATTTTGTACAGATCTACCCCCTGGAATAGTTCAGTCTTCCATAGTTTGCAGAACACCAGGGGAGTAGGAGTCTTCCTGACTACCTCAGGCAGACCATTCCACAAAGTGGGGGCCACAATTTTAGAAATTATGAACATAAATGTGGCTTTAATACCAGAAATTTTCTTGTTCCATATTATTCCGGAAGGATACCAACAACACGAGGTTTATCTGTTGACGTATATTATAACAGCTGCGAGAATAGCGTTCGCAAAATACGGGAAAACAGAAAAGATACCCTCCAAGGAGGAGATAATGTATAAACTAATGGAATTGGCAGAGATGGATAGACTAAGCATGTTAATACAAAGAAAGAATGACGTGCTATATACTAAAAGATGGAAGAGAGTGTTTAAATGGATAGAAAAAGAATCTACAGGAATTGAGGAGGAGGAGATTGGCTTTATACCCCTGCCTTCACTACCCAAAGGTGTCTCAGAGCGGCTTTCCTTTCCCCTCCCCACAACACACACCCTGTGAGGTAGGTGGGGCTGAGAGAGCTCTGACAGAAACTGCTCTTTTTCAAGAACAGCTCTTATCAGAACTACAGCTTGCCCAAGGTCATCCAGCCCAGGTGCAAGTTGAGGAGTGGGGGATCAAACCCGGTTTTCCCAGATTAGAGTCCACGCACCTCAAACACTACACCAAATTGAGGGAGTTGAATAGTAAAAGTATGTTAATATAGAAGAAGATGATGTAAACAAAAATTGAAGCAAAATGGATAAATAGACTCAAGCCAGAAGACGCAGGAACGTAGAAGCGCAGGCGCGGCGGAGCCTAAAGGACATAGCCGGAGCCGGGCTGATGCGAACCATGTGCCAGATGGGCCCGCCAGAAACAACAGCCGACTCCGAAAGCCACCGGAAGAGGAAGAGCCGAGCCGAAGCCGGGCCGAGCCGAAGCCAAAACAAACAAACAAACAAAAGCCAAAGGACAGCGAGTCCCACCATTGGGTGCCGGTAGGGCAGTCCCCACTCCTGATGACATGGTCATAGATAGGGATAAATGAAATTGTGTAAGCCGCTCAGAGACCCCTCAGGGTTCAAGCGGGATACAAGTCGAAAGCATAAATAAATAATGTTTTTAATGAAGTAATTGTACATTGTAAAACTTGTAAATAAAACTTAAAAAAAAACAACCCACAAAGTGGAGGCCACGAGGGAGAAGGCGCGTGGACAGTTGTTGATCCGGCCCATGCAAAGCCGTCATGGTGGAGCATAGGAGAGACTGTCTCGCAGGTATGAGGCTCCAGTGCCGGGAAGGGCTTCCTATGTGAGAGCCACTCCTTTAAACTTAGCCTGGTAACTGATGGGCAGCCGGCGGAGTGACTGCAGAATGGAATCCACGCTCCATCTAGCTGTCGAGAATAGTCCAATTGCGGCATTCTGCATCAACTGGGGTTCCCGAATTGGTTTCGAGGGGAGACCCACGCACAGTGCATCACAGCAGTCTAGTCTTGATGTCACCCTGCGGTGGATCCAGGTGGCCAGATCAGCCGTACAGAAGTAAGGCTGGGCTGAGAGTTGGAAGGAAGCCTTTTTTGGCAACCGCATTGACTTGCTTCTCCCAGCCGTCCTGTTGGGTCCAGTAAACCCTTCCAGGCTCTGAGGAGAGTCAAGTGAGGGCCAGCTGAACGGCATGGAAAGTGGGGAGCCGACTGTCCTTCTCAAGACCTCCACCTTCCCAACCGGCATTACTTCGGTCTTTCCAGGATTTCATTTCAACTTGTTCCCTGGTAGGCGCTGAACCACAGCCGC